CCCGGTGTTTGATGTACAAGTGTACAAGTGAATGAAGTGCCTCCTACCGATGTGGTTTTTTGTAGTGAGTTGTAGCTGGTTTGGAGAGTCCAGTTTTCTGCCTCTGAAAAAGAATTTGATTTGATAAAATATGATTTATTATTTACATTAGGATAACTTCTGGAAAAACTGGTCGAGATAAAGATAACTGTATTTCTGTCGAAACATAATAGTTATTTATGTATCAAGGGAATTAGGAGGGCCTTAATTACCGATGGCAAAGTTTGCGTCCCGAGAGCCTCTGGCCCGAGGGACAGCAATCCACAAGAGAAAGTCTAACGGGGTCAAATCGCATGTTCTCGGTGCTCAGTTCATATCGCCTCCACGCAAAATGACCATGTCCTCAACTCGCTTGTACAGAATATCCAATGTGGCATGGGCTGTGTGGCCGTCTTGTTCAAACCACATATCGTTGGTGTCCAGATTATCCAATTCAGGGAAAAAAAATTATCCACCTAAAGTGCTAGCTGTTTACAGTGATGGCTTGGCCAACGTCATTCTCAAAGAAATATGGAACGATGACGCCGCTAGCCCAAAATCCACACCAGACAGTGACTTTTTCGGGATGCATTAGACGCTCTTGGATCTCATGTGGATTGGTATCGTCCCAAATTCGATAATTTTATTTTTTCACGTACTCATTCATCCAGAAATGGACCTTCGCTGAAGATGATTTTTCGATAGAAATCAAGGCAGATGTCAACTGCTTCAGCGCCCATTCAGCGAAACACGTCGTTGTCCATGGTCGTTCACCTTCAGTTCCTGGGTTAGTTGAATTTTGTACGGCTGCAGGACCAAGTCACGACGCAAAATTCGCCAAGTTGGGGTCTGCGAAAGGTCGAGTTCTTGTGTGCGATGCGAAATCGACTGCCTGTACACTGTCACAGACAGTGACGATTTTTTCGGCAGATGTTGGGTGTGATCGACGTACGGGTGTTGGTCGATCGTTAACTGAACTAGTGGACTCAAATTTATTCACCACATTGCGAATGGTCCTCTCGGTAGGACTTTTATAGCAGTACGTTGCTCGAAGGGAACACCCATTTTGATATAAGAATTTTGTTATTTGCACGTATTGTTGAATGCTATATCCGTCCATGGTAATTTGGCAAAACATACTGAATGAATGATAACTAATTTGACAGATGTAGCTGCAACAAAATGGTCGTTATCAATTGTCAAAGTTCGGAAGTATTTATTGGAATATCCTGTATTTTGAAATTTTCTCGACAGATGTCAAAAGAGTTTTGAAATGTGAAATTTATCAATGTTTTTATCGACTTTCGAAACATTCGATGTAGTAAAAATGGTTATTTGATGTTAGTCTTGCAATTTTCCTTCCTACACTTTACTTGAGAAATGTTTGTTTGGTATTTTTTAAATGAACGTCTGTATATCCATCGATGTATTCAAAACGTCCGAAACATACTTTTTCGATTCCGTATTATTACAATTATTACAAAAGATGAAAGTTGATAATGATCCAAAATAACTTTATTTTGATATCGTATTGAAAACATCATTTCAAAAGAGCAAAAACATAATTATTTTGATACTTTAAGGTTTGTTCTGGTTCTAACATCCGAAACTGTTTGGAAACTGCGCAAGACATGATGCCTACAAACAAAAAATCTCAAACAGTTAGAAATAGTCTTGGACACTTGTTTGAACCAGAATGCTTTTGAGGAGACCCCTGTGCCACCTATCGTATATATGAAGAGATGAAGACGAGAAAATACTATTGATCATGTCCATTTTGTTATGTAGCGTATTCTTATAGTCAATTTAAATGTTATCTGTTTAAAAATCTGTTTAAAATCTGTTTTTCCGTTAATCAGCTGTCCGTCAATTATCAATTATTCAAATCAAATTGATAAAAAAACATCCTAGCAAATAGCCCAATCAAATTTCCACATGAATGCGCATGAGCAACGTGAACAGTTCTCAATAGTTCAGACTCTAGAGCAAGAACGATTAGGGACGGTTCCAAACAGTTTAGGATCATAATGAAAAGAGAAATGAAAATTTCTATGTTTTTTACAACTTTCATTTGTAATTAACATTACTGCAGTTTCGTCCTATATGGACATTTTCAAACCTAAACAATAAACTAACAATGATTCATTACATTCGCCAATATATACCATCCCTGTAGATACTAATAGAAATAGAGGTACTTTACTTGATTGAGTACCTGAATTTACAGTTCACAATGCGGATGTGCCAATTTAAACACCGGAGAGTAAATGAAATCATTTAACAGGTTGCACCCGCAATGTTTATGCTTGTGAATTTCCAAGGATTCTAAATAATTGAGTTTGCAATGAACATTAGTAAACTCTGGCTACCTGTCTTCAATTCTACACAAAGTCATTCAATCTAATTAGGAGAAACGAAGTCACGCCCACCAATGATGATATTGAACCGTTCACAAATTCCAACATTGTAGTTTTTGCTTTGAGAACAACTCGAGCACTTCGACCGTTACCTCTTTGCATTTGATAATTTATACCGCAGTAGTCGACTGTGATGCCAAAGGCAGTTCTTTGTTAATTTTTGGTCCCTAGATGCGAAAATGGTAGATAGTAAATATTTCCTAATACGTAAGATTATGGAGTTATGATTTTTTTCACAAAAGTTTAACGAACACGACTTTCCAAATTACACATAACCCGGACGAATGGCGTTTATTTAGAGATTCGTCTAAAACAACTTTAAAACCCATTTTGCTCCATAATGGTAACAAAAGACCCTCCATTCCCCTCGCACATGCAGTTGCCATGAAGGAAACACACAAAAGTATGTCACTTATTCTAAATGCAATAAGTTATGATAGTTACTTATTGTATTTAGAATATTGATAGCAAAAATCATAGGACTATTACTAGGTCTTCAGGGTGGATTTTAGAAGTTTTGCTGTTTTCTTTGCCTTTGGAACAGTAGGGCCACAGAGCCTTCATCAAGTAAAAGAATGGCCTCTGAGAGATAAATATATGCTAGGTCAAGCTAACGTGAGGAATATACCTCTTGTTAATCCCAAAAACGTTTTGTTACCTCCATTACACATTAAACTGTGGTTATTGAAACATTTTCTAAAATCATTAGACAAAGAAGGTGATGCGTTTAAATATCTCAAACCCGTTTTTCCAAAATTAAGTGATGCAAAGCTCAAGGAAGGTATATTTGTTGGACCACAAATCAGAAAACTACAAAGTGATCAACAGTATGATCAAAAATCAAGTAATGTTGAGTTAGCTGTGTGGAGTTCTTTCAAAACAATTGTTTCGGAGTTTTTAGGGAAAAAGAAAGTAGAAAATTAGGAAACACATGTAGAGAAAGTACTTGAAAACTACTGCAGAATGGGATGTCGCATGTATCTCAAAATCCATTTCTTGCACTCCTATTTGAAATTTTCTCAGGAAATTTGGGTGCTGTCACTGACGAACAAGGGGAAAGGTTCCACGAAGACATACTGACAATGAAGCAACGTTACTAAGGCAGATGGGATGCAGCAATGGTGGGGGATTTTTGTTGGTTCCTTATGAGGGAAAACGATGAAACATATAAACAAAAGTCAACATTTGCAAAATGGTTATGCACAAGAGACTTCATTTGAATGTTTTTTCATGTGTATTGTAAATAAAGTCTGTTATCCTCAAAATATATTGTTTTTTTTCTTGTTTTGATCTTCCCTATAATGTGTTTTGATTTCCCTATAATACGTGAAAATTTTGGTATGAAATAAAAAATAACTATAACTCTTAATCTTTACGTAATGAAAAATTTTTGATTTTGAAGTCGCAATCAGGATGCTTTACACTCTCATGTATAGCCATTATATAATACTAGTTGCATTTTTTCCTTATTTGTTGGCTAGTGCTATTAGGGTAGCCGAAATAAAAGTATAGCATACATCACTGGACCTACCAAATAAAAAGTCTAGCAATTCCGTTGGACCTATCAACAACATTCCGATTAATACAAATGGCTGCAGACATTTAATTAAAATAGTATGTCTTGTAAGTAATACTGGTGTTTTTGAAAGATTTCGGGAGTCGATGAGGAGAAGATTGGATTTTTGTATCCGATCAGGAGGGGGGGTAGTCATCAATAGTTCTCGTAGATTAGGAAATCTTATATATAAAAATGGATGTTTGTTGGTTGGTTGGTTGGTTGGTTGATTGGTTGGTAAGTGATAAACTTCTACTTCGCTCAACCGATCGTGATGAAACTTGACATGTATAAGTAATTTTTCATAGAGAAGGTTGTTAGGCTATCAATTTTTCTGTAATTCGCCATATACGGGGGTGTTTCCATAAGAAGTGAGAAAAATTCGGATTTCTCAGGACTGAAATTTTTTCAGGAAAAAAGTGTATTCGTAGTAAGTTGGTAGTCCTGATCATGAATCTGAAGGAATTTTGAGCCTATTTTGCCCCCTAATATGTTTTACCGTAAAAATGGGGAGTTCCACCGCGAGTGGCGGACGGTGTATATCACTTTGGCCAACCTCATTCAGGTGGTAGGTGCATTTTGAGCATTTCTATCAGTCCTGAGAATTTCATCGTTCTACCTCGAATATTATGGAAGATACGGGGGTGTTTCCATGAGAAGTGAGACACACTGTATGAAGGGGTCAGGCTATGGAGTCTGATCAAAGAGATCAAGCTAGATAATGAGCTCTAACAATCGAGGAGCTTGACAATAGATCTGAAAAGGTCGCAGTGAATCAGGCCATGGGCCAGCTCACCGATAATCTAATCTAATCTACTCTAATTGCTTGCTGAAGTTTGTCTTTTTTATTTTTTAGAAATAAAAATATTGTTTCCTTCTGCAACACTCTCCACAATGCAATTATTACCATTATGTTTTTAAATAGCAACAATTTTGCAATAACGTGCCTAATTGATTCCTTTCGAATCTTCAATGAAACTTTATGAATAAGATGAAATTAAACAACTTACATCTATAAATATGTCAGATTCTTGCAAACTTTCGGTCTCAACAGACTGTCCAGGTTTGTAAAATCCAAACCATTCCGATTCTACAGGTACGACCATGCTGTCATTTTCGAATTTAACCATTACGAAGTTTTGTAGGGACTGGAGGTTGCGAATATATTCAGAATTGACTATCTTTTCGTTATTGATGTCGGCCAGAAATGTACTGTGGTCTTTGTATGTTTCTTCGTTGAGGGGATCATGCCAAAACGTAGCTTGTACCAACATTTTTTGTACTTCACTGAAAGAGAAACCTTACATTGAGGAACATAAGCATGAAACTTTCAAATCTGGATCTAGTTTTTGCTTAGTAGCGGCGGGGTACTTTGTTTTGTGTATGATATGAAAAATATTTATGTAAACAAAGAAAGATGAAAGGTCATCGATGAAACTGAATAGTCACTATATACTTTCAAAGACTATTTTACGTGATATTTTTCGTTTTAGTTTCTTCTTCAGTAGCGGTTCTCCGTATTTTCGATATTCTGGTAAATTTTTCGAATTTTTGAGTGTATTGATTTCTAAGCATTCCAACAGATTGATTTTGAAACAGTTAGCAATTTTAAATGTCAGGAATCTTGAATGTCTCAGATTTCACCTTGGATTGGTTAAACGTATCGAATTGATTTAGTTAATTTGATCTATTTGGAGAAAAAACAAAGAGATCGGCATTAAAAGTAATTTCGGAATTTCGAAGCTAGAAAGCGATGGATCCATATTCGTGTGATGAGGTCAATGTAAACAACTTTTCTGAATGATATTTTTCAGTAATTGGAAATATAAGGGTGGTTTACTCTTTCAGCAATTGCTAATTTTTCAATCATCCTGTATGATGGAAGGTGTTTCTTTTAAATTGATATATGTGATCTAGAAATATTTGTAGATCACATATATTTGTAGGAAAGATTTGAGACACATTGTACAATAATACTTACGGTACGTAAGCGGCATGGTTCAATAATCTTCTAACGAAATCACACACTTCAGCTATGAGCGATCCACATCGAGGAAGACCGTACACTCCTTGGTGTTGACCACCTAGAGAAATCAAGTTCTTGATTTTCGCCTGTGGGCATCTCTGAACTAGTCCTCGCCTGAAAAATGATAAATTTGTTGGTTTCGATATACCAAATGAAACATTTGTTTTGGATAATCTGAAACAGAAAACGGAATGGAACTGAAATGAAGTAGATTTCAAGTCGTGTTGTCCATTTTGACACAGGCTTAGCCAAAAAATCTGGTAGCAGTTGGAAGAAAGTACTTTTTTATTAAAAGGGAAATCTTTGTGGAGAACTTTTGAAAAAGTATAATGAAAAATGATATGGACAGTTACAAGCTTCTTTCGATCAGAATAATGTCCAAATATAATAATGCGAACATATATAGGTCAAAAAGGCATCGGATAAGCGGTATCTGATGTCATTTTATTGCAGAATCAATTTGACACTCTACTAACCGGCTGGGTTCCAATTTATTCATATAAATAGCGTAGTTTTAAACTCGCAGTTCCAACCGTTAGTTAGGGAAGCTATGGGCTATGCTATAGACGACCCCTTCCTATATAGAAGGCTCCGAGACTCTGTCGAATGAGGCACCTATGTCCTCCGTTAGAAGGTGAAGAATCTTTTCATACATCTCACCCCAACCAGGTAGGGGTACACTGTGAAGGGCGGCACTGATGTATAAGGACATTCATGTCGCCATCCCACCATCAGTTATGACCCATTTGTTCCTCTGACAAACATCACTTGAGAGGGTAAGGGAGCCAGGAAACCAAGATGGATGTCGGTTGCAATGCCAATAACCAATGATGATTTATTTATTCATCTGATCAACAAAGGAAATGGAGACATCAAGAAGAAAATTGATAGTATTAAGAGGAGACAAAACATAGTCCCCCCATTCTGGCAAACCAGATGTTGAATCTGAAGTGTTGTCTTGTATTTACAGATAACTAGGCGAAAATCTTGAGAGCCTCGATAACGAATCGAATCTCTTCAGTATGTCATTATTGCTGCCATAAAAGATATTCCAGAAGATGACAGGTACGATTCTGGAGCTGCACATTCCTGCCTAGATGGTTGCAGGTTAACCGAGAGGATCAGGAGAGCATCTGTTATCTGGAAAGTGCAGTTAAGAGAAAGCCGTAAACTACCATATCCTCAAATATTTGGAAGGCTTTAACATCTTGAGTGATCATCAATATGACTTTGACCGTGTGTGGGATGAGGGTTTGATGGCCAAATTTAGATGCTATGGCTTGTCGGATCATTTTTGATCTCTGCAAGTTGCCGTTGATGGATATCTCTCGAATACTTTCACCATCAACGCTGGTGTTCAGGGATCCATATTGTCTCCAATCCTGCTTTTATTGTATATTAACGACTTCTTGGAAAAAAAAACAAGAATCCAATATATTGATTTGCTGACGACAGCACACTTTTTTCGTTATTCTATTTGGATTCCAGGACATCGGCAGCGGAAGGTTGCATATCTTAATGAGGATCTAGAAGTGATTTCGAATTGGGATGAAACTAATCGTGTTCAATTCAATGCCACAAAAAGCCAGGCATCGGTTTTTTCCCAAAAGCTAAATGCCTCCGAACCGGACATAATAGTGTAAGGACACTCAATTCCGCTTTCTGCTTCGATAAGTTTGTTGAGGGTTAAAATTGACACTAATACGTTTCGACACAACCATGTCGCTGGAATTGCAAAGGCTGCTTCACAAAAGCTTGGAACAATGTTCCGAACCAGAAAACTTTACACACCTCAGCAACTTTTGAATCTTTATAAAGCTTAGATCAGATCTTCTCTGGAATAATGTTCTCATTTATAAAGCCCTGCCCCTCAGCATATCCTGAAGCTGCTGGATTCCGTCCAGAAAAGAGCCATCCACCTGACTGGTGAGGCGAACATCACTTGCAACCTTGATAGTCTGGAACATCGAAGAAAGGTTGGGAACGTAGTGGAGTAACAGAGGCCCAATTGCTGAGAACGGCGACGAATCAACATTTCACGGTCATCACGAACACTGGCGGATACAAATAAAATTCAATAATTTGCAAGCATTGTTCGTTCGTAAGTAGATTCATGGTCAAATTATAGACTAAACTGAACGAGTTTGACAATGATACAAGACACGATTCACACGTGATCTGTCAAAAACAGTGTTTTCAAAAAGATACCAGCAAAAAATCACTCATTATTTACACACAGGCACCGCTCTTAAAGCGCCTTAAGGATTTTCCTGTAGTGCTCGTGTTTTTTCCTTTAAAAAACATGAAGATGCGTTATAGGAGGCCTACTTCTCAAGCCATACATTATTGTTGCTCATCAACCTGACGAAAATAGTCGTAAACTGACTATCGATCAGGTCTGTTAATCTTGAAGTGGTTTATTCTGTGCCTGCCTCGTCGCTTCCCACTCTCGCCAGCTGACCTTATCCCTTCCCCTACTATTGAAGAACCATTGGGATTGGTACTTGGGATACTTTTCTAGTTTGTGGGTTCTTTACTTTCGTCTTTTTTTCATTTACATTTTTTGCGAGTATTACCAGAACCAGGATTTTGGCGCCAGTATTAGTAGGGACTGCTCACTACTTCTGTTGAAAACGGTTAGACGTTGAAAGGTTCTTTCCTTGAAAAACAAATATACACATTTTATGAACAGAAAATAATTTCACCGACTTCATTTGTATATGCGGATGGATAATCTGAATTGAAATATAAACAGAGGGGAATACGGAAAAGTGGTTTAGATGGTTCTATAACAATCTTGAGTAATTCACTCGTTGGTAACAAAAAATCCGAATTTATGTCTCAAACAAGAATGGAGGTCGAATATTGAATACATTGATTTTGATTCCGATAAGTGCTTACAGATGTTGGTGTAACAAATTGATATCAGAGTTGAGTCCTTTGCAGGAAATGATTAGAAATTTGATGTTGGATCAATTAGCAACTGGTGTTATTATGTTATTTCCTGTGAGCTTATGCTAGAAATACTCTGATGACTGTCGATAATTAGTTTCCAACTTGCAAAATCAGCCAAATATGCTTATCCTAAGATTAAGCGATTTTTTGTTGTCACCATTGATCCGGAAATATGCTGCAATGCAAGAAAACGTTAGCGGACCATGCCGGTTGAAATCAACATTCGAAATTTTTATTAGAAATTATCTAGAATAATCTCAAGGTACTTGATAAAGTCCATTGCTCTCATTGAGCCTCTACCCCACAAAACCGTTATTTCAGTGAATACTCCACTGGAGTTTTTTTCATTTTCATTCCGATTGACAATTCAATAAAATATCTGAATACACTTACAAGAACTGAGCTCCTTGAGATAAACCAATTGCATTGAATCCTTCAGCAAGAAGAGGATCTGCACCAACGATAGCACAAGCCTCTTGGATTTGTTTATCCGGATGTTTGAAAAAACCATTTTCCATGTCTTCTATCACGTTGTTACCGATCCGAATGGAAACGGTGTGAACTCCTGGTAAAGAGGCGTTCAGTTTTTCCATAAGAGCACCCAGACTGAAGGGAAAGCAGCAACTGTCACCTATTTTTAGAAAAAATGTATCAATTTGATCATTTCCCGATTTGCCGTTATAACCAGTTAACGAGCGCATCAACACTGAAAATGATTCAATTTTCAATGGGAACGAATTAGACCATGAAGTTTAAGTAAGTTAACGGTGTTTCAATTTATATTTGATTGGAATATACTTTACTTTCTCGTTAACTTATGACACAAGTGTAGACCATATTTTGATCATGGTGATTTCATTTGAATTTCGAAGAACTGTATTTGAAATTGAACAGTAAATGTTCAGTTAATGTTCTAGAACAACCTTGAGAGCATTATTTTTCTGGTATATCTCATTCGGTTTTCATCGACTTTTCCGGAGATTTTCACCTTCCTCAAAATGAAAAACATAGAAACTGTAATTGAGAATTTCATACAGGTGTGAAAATGACAGTATTTTTTTATAAAATGTAATATTTTTCACAAAGAAGAATGTACCATTTATCAGTAACCGATACTAAGGAATTGTATTTTAACTCCCAAAGTCCAAAATTTATCTCGATCTTCAGAATTGGAAAAATCAAATGTAACTAGCAGTGTTTTCCTTCGATTCGTTTGGATCTTCAATTAAGCGCTTCTTATCTATAAATTTAAATAAAACAAAGTGTGAGTGAGATATTATCCAATTTTTATTCGTTTGGAAGACCTGTGGATGCCATTATGTGTGAAATATAACATGGTTCAATTGTCCGTCACGATTCCTCTGGGTGGTTCACAAACGTCACATTTCACATAAATCAGTCTGAATTTGACCAATGGCATGGGTTATGTTGGCTTTGAGGACCGCTGAGGTTTGTGGGTTATTCGAATACACCTGCGACTTAAGAAAACCCCACAAGAGAAAGTCTAACGTGGTCAAATCGCATGTTCTCGGTGCTCAGTTCATATCGCCTCCACGCAAAATGACCATGACCTCAACTCGCTCGTACAGAATATCCAATGTGGCATGGGCTGTGTGGCCGTCTTGTTCAAACCACATATCGTTGGTGTCCAGATTATCCAATTCAGGGCAAAAAAATTATCCACCTAAAGTGCTAGCTGTTGACAGTGATGGCTTGGCCAACGTCGTTCTCAAAGAAATATGGAACGATGACGCCGCCAGCCCAAAATCCACACCAGACAGTGACTTTTTCGGGATGCATTAGACGCTCTTGGATCTCATGTCGGTTGGTATCGTCCCAAATTCGATAATTTTATTTTTTCACGTGCTCATTCATCCAGAAATGGACCTAATCGCTGAAGATGATTTTTCGATAGAAATCAAGGCAGCTGTCAATTGCTTCAGCGCCCATTCAGCGAAACACGTCGTTGTCCATGGTCGTTTACCTTCAGTTCCTGGGTTAGTTGAATTTTGTACGGCTGCAGGCCCAAGTCACGACGCAAAATTCGGCAAGTTGGGGTCTGCGAAAGGTCTAGTTCTTGTGTGCGATGCGAAATCGACTGTCTGTACACTCTCAAAGACAGTGGCGATTTTTTTGGCAGATGTTGCATGTGATCGACGTACGGGTGTTAGTCGATCGTTTACTGAACTAGTGGACTCAAATTTATTCACCACATTACGAATAATCCTCTCGGTAGGACTTTTATTGCAGTACGTTGCCCGAAGGGAACACCCATTTCGATATAACAATTTTGTTATTTGCACGTGTTGTTGAATGCTATATCCGTCCATGGTAATTTGGCAAAACAGAGAATTAATGATAACTAATGAAATGAAATTTATCAATGTTTTTTATCGACTTTCGAAACATTCGATGTAGTAAAAATGGTTATTTGATGTTGGTCTGCAAGTTCCAAGTTGCAAGTTGGACAATGCGGCTGAAATTTTCAAAAACGGTATGCTGAACATGAAAGGTCCTTCAGACTAGGAAAAAATGATTCGACGTTTTCAAACCATTCCTTGGCATGCAACCACAAGTTTCCGAATCTAAACGATACGGAAATTTTTCACTATGCAAGGAAGGGTTGCAAACTCAATTATTTAGAATCCTTGGAAATTCACAAGCATAAACATTGCGGGTGCAACCTGTTAAATGATCAAATCGATTTAATTTACTCTCCGGTTTTTAAATTGGCACATCCGCATGTGCCAATTTAACATGTGCCACGCATGTGCGTGAACTGTAAATTCAGGTACTCAATCAAGTCAAGTACTCTATTTCTATTAGTACCTACAGGGATGGTATATATTGGCGAATGTAATGAATCATTGTTAGTTTATTGTATAAGTTTGAGAATGTCCATATAGGACGAAACTGCAGTAACATTAGTTACAAATAAAAGTGGTAAAAACATAGAAATGTTCATTTCTCTTTTCGTTATGATCTCCTACCACGTAGTAACGGCTACATCCATCAATTTAGTTTAGGATCACTTCGCAGTCGGAACCAGAACAGAGGATTCATCAGTCCGAAATTATTCTCAATAAACCAGAACGCTGTATATCAACTGCGCATGATCCTGACGTTCTAAAACCTGAATTTCGTAGAACCAGAACAAACCTCTAACGGCTGGTTATTCCAAATTGTCAATAGCCCTTCACCATCAATTTGAATTCCAACGATTTGCCACTATGGACTTTGTCGAAGTTATTACGGATTTTTTTGTCGTGGTGTGCAGATTTTTATGTCTGACCCAGCTAAGGACTCTATAGAGAGTCAGCAATCGGGATACATCGGATCCTTTGTAGCTGTGGGTCGGTCTATACTGGAACCAATGAAAGAAGTATAGGTACCCGTCTCTCTGAAATTGTCGCTTCATACAAACCGTCAAATCATATATAGCTTTCAAAGAAAGCACTCACATAATCTCATTCTAAGATACACGCACACATCTAAAAACATATAGAGAGGCGACAGTAATTCAGAAATATAGGAATAATTTCGATAGAAAGAAAGACAATGAACATTTGTAAAATCTGGCTACCTGCCTTCAATTGTACACAAAGTCATTCAATTTAATTAAGAGAAACGATGTCACGCACACCAATAATGATATTGAACCGGTCACAATTTTGCATTGAGAACAACTCGAGCACTTCGACCGTTACCTCTTTGCATTTGATAATTTCTACCGCAGTAGTAGATGAAACGACAGACATAAAAACCTGCAGATCACGATCGAAAATCCCAGAAAATAGTTTTGACAGTTTTCTTAGGCCGTGTCTGTCTAAAAATATGTATTTTTTTTAATACCTATTTTATTCATTTGAAGAAAGTATTTAGGATTTATCAGAACACTATAATGAAATCACTTCGTGGGGTATTTTTAGATACTGTTGAAATGAAACAACCAATTTTTTTGTTGAGCGCCGATTACTAAAGCTTCCCAGATAACCAAGAGCATTTTTGTGAAGCACGTCACGTGATAATTGTCTGTTCGGCCACCGTGTGTTTACTTTTATACGGTGATTCGGCTATGCTTTTCTGAATACTTAATAAACAAACATAACCTAGCATGTACCAGAAACTTACCCATTCCGTGCCATAATACTATTGGAGTAATGGAATCGTTTGCACTCGTAACTAAGCAAAAAGAGCTGAAAAACAAAACGATATAGACAGTTGGCGTCATTTTGTTGATCTGATCGAAACTAATAAATAAAAACTCATTATCGGTTATAACTGCAGTTGAAGTACTTCGTTATCTGCGCAGACTCCGAGAAAGAGAGCTGTGAAGAGAAATTGATCATTGCAGACAGTGCCGGGTAATTATCTCAGATGATCCCCTTCAACTGACAGAAAGTGGAGCTTGGAGTCGTCGCTCATTTTTTGCAGTCCCAACCGATCCTGCCAAAAATATCAAAAACAAGTATGAAAATAGAAATCATTCAGGATAAATGCATTATACAATTGCAAGTACCTTCAGAGGAGCAAATTTATCTGTATAAGGTCACAAATACTAGTAGCTGATTGAAAATTGATTTTGATATAATTCAATGTTTACATTGAAAACTAGGCGATGACATTTCCCCTTCCTTACTCAGGTTTGTCCTTTAATAACAGTCGAGTTCAACAATGCATTCGTGGTTCCGCCTTGCACCACTGATGAGACTATGGTGGGGCTGGTATGTAATCATGTTTTTTGGCTCTGATTTGAATTAATTGTCCTGCAGTGAAAGCTGCAATGGGAGACAGAGGGCGAATCTTCGGCGGTTGATGTCGAAGTTTGGAGTTTATGTACAGATGACGTTTTCGTGAAGGGAGATGCCATCGCCTTTACTTTCTAGTACGAATGTTTGGTAAACGAATAGAACTGGCCGATACTTGATGAAAATCCATATTAAAACTAATTGATACAGACGCACACTTTTGGTTTTTCATTCCACTCTTTTGGAAACAACATTTTACTAATTCGATTAGAAATATTAAGAGATGACTTATAGAAACTCTGACCGCTCTCTGCTATACCGACATTCTATATTTATACAAATTAACACCGTGTGAAAGTATAGTGGGAGAACTTCTCCTTCTCACAAACATGACTTCATCATACCATGTATGATTTTCACTATAAAGGGTTCTACAAAAACCGCGACAAACTTGACTGAATTACTTTTTTGATAATAAAGAATGTATTAGACTGCTATCGTAATCGTTTCAATAAAGAACCGAACATAATAAAACAAATAGTCGTCAACAATAATTACGATAGCAGTCTAATACATTCTTTATCATCAAAAAAGTTGAACACCCTGTATAGTGTCACCGTTGAAGTAGGTAACTCATGGGAAGTTTGGTTGGTTGGTTTCTGCTTCAAATAAGATCATAACACGAATACTTACCACTGTACCTATCTGTCAAAATTAACATTTTTTTCAAAGATGATTGAAAAATGTCATTTCTTCACAGAATTTCAAAAAAGACGTTTATAAAAGTTTTCTCTTCTACACTTTGATGACCGTATACCAAATTTGGTAAATCAAGGACAATTTGTATGACAACATGAAAAGTTTGGCAGAAGTCTAATAAAATGAAAAATGTTCGAATTTTTATTCAGTGAGTAAGAAAGAAGAGTTTTTCACGTCAGTTCGCTATTAACAATTGAGTTGACATGCTCTGTTCCGTATCAAAAACCCATTTCGAATTGTATTGAAGATATTGTGTATTGAAATAAAAATAAACCAGGTCCTTGTCAATGTAAGGAACATTACTCAGTGGTGAGGTTCTTCATATATAAATATTTATGAATAGACGTTTACACAGTCAGCGGTTCCACTGATGGTTGGAAGAACTGGAAATCGTTGTTCGAGAGAAGAATAAAGATTAACCACATTTCTGATAATATCATTGTTTCTCTGGTAAAAATAGGATTCTTGAATGTTCAAAATATATATTTTTTTGTTTTGTTTGGTATCCGGGTTTTGCTATGGTCTTCTTTGGTTACAATCTGCAAACGTTTCAACTGCAACTGCGGCAGTCATTTTTAGTGGCGTATCAACTGAAGCTGAAGCTATTCCTCAAGCTATTGTGTAGCGAAACACGTGTCGCCGTTTTTACAAAACCCTTTAGAGTGAAAATTATCATCATCAAGTATCGGCCAGTTCTATTCAATCAATAACAATAATATTTGGCATATTATACGAGTCGGGGAATTAAAGACGTATACCTCTAGTGATTTTTGAAGGACAATAAGTTAACAATAAAATATTGAAAATACAACAAAATTCATAGATTTTTCATAAAATAATTGAATTATTATTCTAAAATATATCTTTTTCATGTTGTGTTTCAATGTGGCACCTAGATCGGCAAACGGCAAAACTATACTCTGGATCTTATACAAAAATCCTCCAAGTACTCACATTCACAAAAACGTTTATCTGAACAAATTCGAGAACATGTATCTCTATATTTGTTTGTTGAACCCCTCTATGATTCAAACCAGAGCCTTCTTCCTTTTTCGACAAAATATATTATTCCATTCATCATTGATTCTCTATTCGAATTTTTCCGTATTTCATAGACATTCTTTTAATTTTAATTTTTTAAATTTTTCTAAGAGTCATTCACCAACTGGTTAAATAAGAAAAACAATTCAACATATTCCAGTGCAAGACCTCGTTAAGCCNNNNTGTACATCAGAAAATGCGCCTTGAGGCATGGAACATATGTACCAAATATGCCAAAGATGTCTACAAAATTATCTCAGTTATTATTAAAAAACTGATTATTTTTGAAAACTTTGCCACCCTGTATCTCAAAAGTTAAGGCGTTTAGGACATACGTCCATAGGAAGTTTTTTTCTTAAAATGGGTCTAAGAATTACCTCCTTAAATATTAGCATGTGTTCAAGGAACACCCTGTATAGTGTCACCGTTGAAGTAGGTAACTCATGGGAAGTTTGGTTGGTTGGTTTCTGCTTCAAATAAGATCATAACACGAATACTTACCACTGTACCTATCTGTCAAAATTAACATTTTTTCCAAAGAAGATTGAAAAAATGTCATTTCTTCACAGAATTTCAAAAAAGACGTTTATAAAAGTTTTCTCTTCTACACTTTGATGACCGTATACCAAATTTGGTAAATCAAGGACAATTTGTATGACAACATGAAAAGTTTGGCAGAAGTCTAATAAAATGAAAAATGTTCGAATTTTTATTCAGTGAGTAAGAAATAAGAGTTTTTCACGTCAGTTCACTATTAACAATTGAGTTGACATGCTCTGTTCCGTATCAAAAACCCATTTCGAATTGCATTGACGATATTGTGTATTGAAATAACAATAAACCAGGTCCTTGTCAATGTTAGGAACATTTCTCAGTGGTGAGGTTCTTCATATATAAATATTTATGAATAGACGTTTACACAGTCAGCGGTTCCACTGATGGTTGGAAGAACTGGAAATCGTTGTTCGAGAGAAGAATAAAGATCAACCACATTTCTGATAATATCATTGTTTCTCTGGTAAAAATAGGATTCTTGAATGTTCAAAATATATATTTTTTTGTTTTGTTTGGTATCCGGGTTTTGCTGTGGTCTTCTTTGGTTACAATCTGCAAACGTTTCAACTGCAACTGCGGCAGTCATTTTTAGTGGCGTATCAACTGAAGCTGAAGCTATTCCTCAAGCTATTGTGTAGCGAAACACGTGTCGCCGTTTTTACAAAACCCTTTAGAGTGAAAATTATCATCATCAAGTATCGGCCAGTTCTATTCAATCAATAACAATAATATTTGGCATATTATACGAGTCGGGGAATTAAAGACGTATACCTCTAGTGATTTTTGAAGGACAATAAGTTAACAATAAAATATTGAAAATACAACAAAATTCATAGATTTTTCATAAAATAATTGAATTATTATTCTAAAATATATCTTTTTCATGTTGTGTTTCAATGTGGCACCTAGATCGGCAAACGGCAAAACTATACTCTGGATCTCATACAAAAATCCTCGAAGTACTCACATTCACAAAAACGTTTATCTGAACAAATTCGAGAACATGTCTCTCTATATTTGTTTGTTGAACCCCTGTATGATTCAAACCAGAGCCTTCTTCCTTTTTCGACAAAATATATTATTCCATTCATCATTGATTCTCTATTCGAATTTTTCCGTATTTCATAGACATACTTTTAACTTTAATTTTTTTAATTTTTCGAAGTCATTCACCAACTGGTTAAATAAGAAAAACAATTCAACATATTCCAGTGCAAGACCTCGTTAAGCCCTTGGTCGCATATATCTCTAGAAGCTTCACAGGGTTGCCGTTTTTTTAATACTGACAGCTGCTCAAAGATATTTCTTGGAGCCTATAGATGAAAATGCATTTTTATGAAAGGAACAACAACAATCGAATGAGTACCTGCAGACAAATATCACAGTATTACTCATCATTGTCGAACAGTACTCAGAATCATTCTCTCTATTTGACAGTGTCATCAAACTATTTTGAGCTACGATTTTCATTCTTCACGAACAGCTCCAATCTCAGACCAAGGACTGAAATGAGTGTTAAAAATAGTACACATGAGGAAACTTGTAGAAACATCCGTTGAACGTTATTCAATATCTGTCGTAGTATTAGACAGTGTAGGCAAGGTCTCTTTCCTTTCGGAAGATGTTTATATTTATTTATGTCTTGGCATAGCTTCTGCTTCATCAGAATTTACATCAGGTTTAAAAGAAATGTTTAAAATATGCTTTTTCGTTAACCAGTTTCAAAATTTAAATCCTGATACCAAATGGATCACATATTGAAAACACATTTAACTCGGCCAATTACAGGTCCCTTGAAAGGTAAGAACTCGTTAATCCTCAACTCTCATAAGTTTCGACTCCTGCTTATTGTCGTTTGGAGGAACCGATAGCTGGTTAATAGAAAAACTACTTTTAACAGATATCTATATATGTCGAATAATCATTGAAAATATCTATACTAAAATGATAATTACAAAAATTAGCAGTATGGATGAAACAGTTATGAAAATATGTTTAAAATATGTTTTCCGTTAACCAGCTATCGCACCCCTACGAACGACAACCCTCAGAAGTTGAAACTTGTGCAAGCTATGGACTAACGAGGTCTTACCTCTTAACGTGTAATTTTTAACACAGGTTGGACGATAGCAAATGAAAATCAATCGTTCAGCCTGCGGCTTGAACCACAGACTAACACGGCTGTCGATTTGAGTGAGTGAATAAAGGACCCACGTCGAACTGACCGGCTACCGACTGGTGATACAATTAAAAACTCGAGGAAATCAAAAGATTTATTCAACTATTCATCTACGTCTCTTATGAGAAATCAATGATACAGTTCAAACATTTTTATCGACTTTCTTTGGGAATTTTCACCTTCCACATCTGAAAAGAAGGTCCATAAAAATGACTTTCGTTCAATATGGTACAAAAACTATGTTCATTTACTAGTGAAGAAATAACAAAGTATTTTGAATGAAAATTTTCGTTTTTTATCTCTTATCTCTCGACAAAGTCATATTTATATTACAATATGGCCCTTAAGAGGGCCCAGAATTTTACGTATTTTCGGGAATATCCTTCTCTAAACGTTGAATTTTCCATTTCAAGTAGTGATGACCGATGTTTTTGGCTAGTTTTCCATTGCTTGGTTACAGAGTCACGGTCGAATGCCTCCTCCATGTGTCGGAAAGTACTGGTTGTGCCCCTGATTGTGCCTCAGGTAGGTTTTGGTAGGAGCACCCTTGGAAAAGACTATACGAAGTTTCTCTTCATCCAAGGGATTGAGAAGTTGGTAAACGTCCATGCAGCATGTTTGTTCCCCGGTGTTTGATTTACAAGTGTACAAGTGAATGAAGTGCCTCCTATCAATGTGGTTTTTTGTAGTGAGTTGTAGTTGGTTTGGAGAGTCCAGTTTTCTGCCTCTGAAAAAGAATTTGATTTGATGAAATATGATTTATCATTTACATTAGGAAAACTTCTGGAAAAACTGGTCGAGATAAGGATAACTGTATTTCTGTCGAAACATAAAATTATTAATAAAGAACAGTTTGGCTTTCAAAGTGGCAAAGACACTATTGATGCAATTTTCTCACTCATGGGAAAAGTTTATACTGGAATCAATAGTGGCGAGGTTGCTGCTGCAGTATTTTGCGATTTTTCGAAGACTCTCGACTGTGAGGATCACGAAATACTGTTGCGGAAGCTTCCCTACTACGGCTTCAGAGAAGTGATACTGAGCTGGTTCAGCTCATATTTGTGAGGTCGTAGTCAGATTGTGGAAACAACCCATCTCTCAGATATCCAGAAAATACGTTATGGTGTGCCTCAAAGTTCAATACTAGGGCCAACATCTACCTCAACGATTTGACAAGTATAAATATCTCAGGAAAATTCACACTATTTGCAGACGATAGTACCATTTTTCGGCAATCGGACAATGCAAATGATTTAACTAAAATCATATCCATCGATATGATGAAAGTAATGAGTTGGTGTGATTCAAATCGACTGTTTCTAAATGTTTCGAAAACTAACATAGTAACTTTCATATGTAAATTTGACAATACACCCATTGGAAATGACATCATTGAGAACAAAAGTAGCTTAAAATTTTCAGGAGTACATATGGATAGAAAACTAAAATTTGGTTGTTATGCAGTCAGAGTAGTCGCAAATGAACTTGGTTTGACAGCAGCTAAGACTGTTTATTTTTCTCTGGTGGAATCCCACCTGAGATATGGAATTCCATTTTGGGGTGTATGTAGTAGTTATCTACTACAACATATTTGAATTTTGCAAAAACGAGCCGTAAGATATATGTGCAAATCAAAAAGTACAGACTCTTGTAGATTACTCTTTACCACTCGTGGAATTCTAACAGTGATTTCTTTCTTTATAACGGAAACAGTGTGTTTCATTAAGAAATATTTGAACAAATTTTAATCCTCGTCAACCCATTATGTGACAAGGTAATCCAACAACATTGAGTTGCCAATACTAATGACATCAGTCATGAAGGATTCCATTGTCTATAATGGTTGTAAAATGTTCAACCACTTGCCAAAGAATGTAACAGAAATAAAATCTTTACAATGCTTCAGGAAGGCTGTGAAAGGTTTTTTAAGTGATAGACTACTGTAATATACAAGAATTTCATAATGATAATTTAAAAAAAATGTCTTATTTGTTTATTATTCACCAGCATCCTGTACGACTTCGTTTTACTCATTTATTGTTTCCCTGTGTCCTGTATTACTCATATGTTTTTATATATACAAACTGATTTTATGTATCAAGTGAAAATTGATCAATTTAAATGCACTTTTACATAAGAACTGTATCATAGATTAGGTAAAACTACAAGTTTACTCTTATGACAATAAAGTATATTCTATCTCCCTCTCTTTTTGAGAATGTCAATCTTGCAACTCAACTGAATATTTATCTCCGATTATTATCATAATTTTAATCACTTTGTCCGAATCTAAAATTCAACGCAGTTGAATTTTTTCCTATCATACCGATGAAACCGGAAACATTATTGGAGGATACGCCTTTATAAAGTAAAAACCGTTCTGAAAAATTATGACCGTGAACTGCTATGAAATGAAATTGAAGATGAAGGCCAGAAATCAATCTTGAACGCGCCTACAATGATCACACGAGAAAATCGTGCAATGGACCGATTTTAAAACGCAAATCAACACAATCAAATCTATAGAACTTTCGTAACCTTCGTAAAAGACTAGGAAATTACTCAGAGGTCATTTTGTGAAGGATAAATCGGTTATTTTTTTGGATCTTCAACCACAATCTGAAAAAATTAGAAGTGTCTGGAAAGAATTTGCGAATGTAGGAAAAGGAAATCAACGAAAAGTTTCACTAATAATGAAAACAACTGATTCACCCGATTCACAATTTTATTCAAAGTGCATCGACTGTTTGTCTGCTGTAAACTGTTGAAAAATATGTTGAAATCTGTTTTCTGTTAACCAGCCTATGAACAAAAACCCTCAACAGTCGCAACTTGTGCGAACTGAGGATCAATGAGATCTTACCTTTTACTATGCGATTCCTGGTACGGGACTCACAGAAAATTGTTTACAATAAATTATTTTCATGTGAAACTATTTGAAAAAATACAGTTAAAATTCCAATGAAGATGAAAGTGATATTTTCTTTCTCACCTCGGCGTACGGACTATAAATATAAAACGATGTTTTTATTATTACTGCGTGAATATACTTGGATCACAAAGATAATAATATATGAACTTGATCCAGAAATAAACGATACAAAATTCAGCTGACAGAAATCAACAAGCTCATGTAGTTGTCGGTTCAATTCGTTACATCTGCTATAAGTTATTATTAGAGATATTTGATTGGCTGATTAATCGCTCAATTGTGAAGATACAATGTCACCTTTACTGCTCCCCGAATGATTAGTTCAAAATAACAAAATTGATAATCATAATGGCGTAATTTGAGTTTCGTTGCTTTGTATCACGTGAATTCAAAAAACCTAATTTTATTTTGTTACATAATTTCATACATTATATTATTAGTTTTGCCATACCTTCAGTTGTGAAGTTACGAGTATTACTATAGTGTTCATGTGTTACGTCATATTTAGTTATATTATCTATCTTATCTTATTTATTCATTGGTGACTGGTATGTGTTTGTATATATTAAAGAGAGTTTCGCGGTTTGTTGGATGAATATTGGAACAATAATGTTAACAAGACAGACACACCCTAGGAAGTGCGTCGTGTTTCTAATATCAGTGTTTATCACAACACTGCTTCCTGATTATCAATATTTTTTAAGGACAGAGCACAAACACTACAGGAAAATCCTTGAGCGGTACCTGTGCGAAAGTAGCAATTCACGTTGAATTAAATTCCTTTGGAAAAATGTTCTCAGGAAATGTATTCTACATACAAGCAGTATGCTTCATCAGCTCCATCTGTATCTGTAGAGTAGGCCACTAGCCAGCACTTAGGCCATATGTGACCCATTGTACATCCTCCCCAGGAGTTTTCTTCCTAGGTCATCGTCCATCCTGTGCTTTCCAGGAAGATGGACAGGTCACTAGGATACATCTCCTTTATATTGGCAGGTGTAGCCCAAGACTCGCTGAACACACACTCTCTTTGGCAACCTTGAGGTGTCTCACGGTGGCCTCCGCGAAGGTTTTGGAAGTTGCAGCGACATTACTGTCGTTGTGCGGCTTCTTAACCTTCTCGGGGTTCCCTCCGTGGAGGTGCTCATGTGAGGGCGCTTTCCTACAGAGGCAGCCGGTTTTTTTTTCTTTATTCAAGGTGGAGCTCTTGGCACCAACCGCAGGATCGGTGCCGATCGGTAGATTGTGGAGGACATTTCTGTTCATCCCCAGCCACCACCATAGATTGAGGTGAGCCCTTCTGTCCAGCCTCGGGATTGGTTTTTGTTGTGTCAGTTTTTGTTTCATTCATGTGTGTTCCCATGAGTGGCAGGGGAAAAGATGGTCACCTCTGGCAGAGCTCCGCATTACCAGAGGAAGGCTGATTACAGTGAGGTTTCGCCGGGTTCCCCAAGGGGACCGTTCGTAACCGCATATCACCCTGCGGCCATTCAGCTGTCGGCACGATTCCTTACACCTTAGCTTGGGTAGGCTAGCCCACGGTGACATGTTTCGCAAAGGCTTTGGGGGAGTTTTAGTTCGCCTCCTCCTACTTATTTCTGCCACTGACCAGGAGTCCGGCGACCCAGTGCGTAAGGCCACATTGGCTTCCCGTACAGGACCCCCAGTCTCCTGGCCGTTCCCCTATCCGCCACCTGGGAACGCGTCCGATAGGTAGCTCAAACTGCTTTCTGATTATCAATAATTTTCAAGGACATAACACAAACACTACAGCAAAATCCTTAGGGCGCTTCAAGAGCGTTGCCTGTGCGAAAGTAGCGATTTACGTTGGATTTGAATCGCTGAAGATTAAATTCCTCTGGAATAACGTTCTAAGGAAGTTTATCCTACATACGAGCAGTTCTTCAAATGAAAGAGTTTTTAAGCGGTGGAGTTATTAGTCATGAACAGACAGCGTGTTACCTCAGGGCTAGTACTAGAGTGCCACCAAGATTTAGCCAAAGCCTCGGTAGATAATAACATTGTCCTGAGGTGGGTTAAAGGGCACGACAGAAGTAAAGGTAATCGCATTGCCGACTCTTTAGCCAAGGAAGCGGCTGGACTAAGAATTTTTGGACCCAGTGGCACCCACGGCCTGATGACTTCGACAAAATTGGAACTAGTCAAATGTTACACCCATGCTCAATCCTTAAAGAGATGGGATGGAATCAAAGGATGTAATCTTGCCAGGATCATCTTGGGTGACCCTGGGAAGCTGGCGCCGAAGAAATATCTGGCGATGACCAGGAAAAATCTACGCCTTACAGTAGGATTTCTGACTGGCCACTGTCAACTAAGGAAACACCTCCATAATATGGGGCTAGTGGACACACCTCTATGCAGGATGTGTGAACAGGAAGATGAGACTGTCAGGCATGTCCTGTGCGAGTGCCCGGAGTTATCGTCAATAAGAGAGTGTGTGTTCGGCGAGTCTTGGCCTACAGCTGCCGATATAAAGGAGATGTCTCCCAGCGACCTGTCCACCCTCCTGGAAAGGACAGGATGGACGATGACCTAGGAGGACAACTCCTCGGGAGGATGTACAATGGGTCACATGTGGTCTAAGTGCGTGGGCTTACACTCACCCTCCCTACTCTACAGATACAGAGAAGCGGTGAAGTTAGAGGTGTACTGAGTTGAACCTCGAAACGGTAAGCAAGCAACAGTCCGTCGCGTATTTCTGATATGTACCGCTCTTGGTAAAATCAAATGTGCCAAGTCACTTGAACACCTCCCTTGAAAGTATTCATGAAAGA